CCCCAAATGACCAAGGAGCCTTGAGAGCCAGCTGGTTTACTTGTGCCTCACTGAAGTTTCCTTAGGTACAATCCTTATTCTCATGCTATAATTGAACTTCATTCCCTCATCTTATATCCTCAACAGAATAGCCAGGCCTGGGATACACATTGGAAGTCAGAAGACCCAAATCTGGGCCCACAGTCTGTGACTTGCTAGATTAATTTCTCCTTTGTAAACTGGACCTAATTCAGAGGGTGGGGATGAAATATGATAATGCATGTAGCAATGCTCTGTAAACATCTTACCAGCATCGCTTTGGCTGAGCTCACATCCCTCCAAGCTCCTAGACACACACACACCTGGGAAAACTCTGGTATCTCTAGAAGCTGAGCAAACTAAGGACAGCCAAAGCATCTGGCTCAAGTCTTGTTCCTGTTGATCTCAAAGTGTTCCCCACACATCCTCTTAGATATGGTGGAAGAAGTTCTGGACCTGTGTCTGTGAGGAAAGACCAAAGGAATGCAGATCATTCTTTTGAGAGAGAGAAGATGGCAGAGAGGCGCTGTCTGGGTAGAGGGTGGAATGTGGGGCCAGGTCCCAACAGGGCTGAAGATGCTGCTGCTGTAGAAGGGAGGATGGCCTGGCATCCGGCTCCTCAGTGTCCACCACATTTATCATTTATGAAGCCCTTTCTCAGTCATGACTCAGGTCATCCCTGTCACCATCTGTGAGGTGCGTACAACAGATAACAGGATACCTCCTTTGCAGATTAGAAATGTGACTTGCCCAGGTCTCCTGACTCCAAGCTCAGTTCTTCTGCAGGGCACCAGGCTGACTGTGGGTCATTTAGGTGTAGATGATGGCAGATTGAGAACATTCCTCGCTTAAGAACCTTAAAATAGGAACCTATGGGTGCTGTTCAGAGAGGGTATCACCTAGAGTCGGGGGGTGGGCCAGGTGACTTCTGTTGCTCTCATCCAGCCTGAGGATTGGAGATCTAGCCCAGGACTCACATCTGGTCAATAACGACCTATCGAGGGCCCCAGGTGGGAGAGAGAAGAGGCAAGTTATAGCTGGAGAGATGCCTCCCTCCCCCTCCTGTTACCCTTCCCAAACTGCCTGGAGCCCCAGGGTTAAAGCTTTCCTGGGGCTCCTCCAGGACCCAGTCCCAGCAGACCCTGTAGCTTAGGGTATCGGTTCTCATCTGTTTTTCTTGCTATTTTCTCCTTGGTGGGAAAGGGCTGGACCCAGGACCTCGGCTGAGGTGGGGCAGGCTCTCACAGGAAGGGCTGCCTCCCAGAGCCTGGGGAGAAACTCACCTCTCCTGACACGTGGGAAAGGGATGCAGAGGCTGCACATCCTGGCACACATGTGGGGTGGGGGCATGTGGAAGGTGCCTCTAGTGCTTAGGAATGTCGCTCGCAAGGCGGGCTCAAGGCGTCACCATCCCCAAGGGCTGTGCTGGGAACTAGCCAGAGATGGCTGCTTTCAAGAGTGTGCAGTCTCAGACAGACATGGAAGTAGGAGTAACAGAACAGAGATATTAAAACACCAATGTGGGCTCGGCGCCTGTGGCTCAAGTGGCTAAGGCACCAGCCACATACACCCTAAGGTGGCGGGTTCGAATGCAGCCTGGCCCGCGAAAACAACAATGACAGCTGCAACCAAAAAATAGCCAGGCATTGTGGCGGGCGCCTGTGGTCCCAGCTACTTGGGAGGCTGAGGCAGGAGAATAGCTTGAGCTCAGGAGTTGGAGGTTGCTGTGAGCTGTGATGCCATAGCTTTCTACCTAGGGGACAGCTTGAGGCTCTGTTTCAAAAAAAAAAAAACCCACCAATGCGGCCCTGTCCACAGGTAGACAGGGCTGATGGTTCCTTAAAGGTATAATTCATGGAGCCAGAGGGAGCCCCACGACACCCAGTTCTTTCCTCAGGGCATAAATGAGACGTTCCTTTCAGTGAGGTGTGGCCCTCTCTGTGTGGTTTTTTAAAAGCCAAGATAACACAAACACAAATAACACAAACTTTATTAGTCAGCCTCTTCTTATTGATGAGGATAATATGAAAAGACTGGGAACCTGGAGAAACAGGGTGGCAGAGGCCCCGAGAGGGAAAGAGATCGCTTGAGGAGAGAGTGGGACGGGGGTATGCTGAGCCTCTCAGCATTGCCGAGAGCTGGCCTGGCTGAACAGAAAGGATTTCATACCATGGCTGCTGCCAGAGTAAGTCAGCAGGGTTGAGAGGTGGAAATGAGGGAAGAAGGTCTATAAATCCTACATCCAAATAGGGGAGGCAGAGGAAGCGTTTGGTTCCTCCCAGGACACCCTGGCAGGGCTGCCAGATGAGAAGAGGGAGATTCTGGATGCTAAGTGAGGTGGGAGCTTAAAAATAATAGTTAACTGATTAACAACAATAGTAGTAATAATAATAGCATTTCTGGTGGAAAAGAGCTAACATTTCCTGTGCTGGGCTCTGACCTTAGAGACATGATTCCACTGACACAGCCCCATGAGTTAAGTTCTATGGGTTGAGCATCCCTAATCCAAAAATCCAAAACCTGAAATGCTCCAAAATCGGAAACTTTTTGAGCACCAACACGGTGCTCACTGGAACAGCTCACTCGAGCATTTCAGATTTCAGATGTTTGGAGTAGGGATACCCAACTGATGAGTATAAAGCAAATATGCCAAAATGCAAAAAAATCCAAAATCTGAAACACTATGGTCCCAAGCATTTTGGATAAGGGATACTCAACCTGTATCGCTGTTCACATCTCCTATTTGCAGTAACTGAAACTCAGATAAGTTAACCAACATACACAAGGCCACTCAGCTAAGAAAAAGTAGCTACAGAATTTCTCAGACTGAAATATGTCCAAGTCCAAAGCCCATAGTGGTCCAGCTCTGCCATTCGGGGAGATGGAGAATGAGGGGGGTTGGGAGGGTAGAAGCCTATAGCAGAAGAAGGGAGCTGTGGCTTGGACTGGAAAGCAAGCTTCACCTGCTCCAGGAGATCTCCCTGAACTAAGTAGTACTAAGGATGCCAGCACACTCTGCCCGGGAACCTCCACCCCCAGAGTCTGACCTCTCTGTGAATGATCTGTTCCTGTTCCTGCTGGGGACAACCAAGCAGTTGAGACTCTCTCTTTCACTTATTAAACAGATATTCATTGAGCACCTTTCTGGTGCCAGGTTTGGGAATATAGAAGAGAAAAGGCTCTCATGATAATACCACTCTATAGGAAATAGAAAGGCAGGACATAGATATGCAAACAAACCAGATGATTTCAGAGAATGAAGGGACCCATCAAGTGAAATCACCAAATACCAT